GCCACTTGGGGGACTGGCTGGGGGTCGGTCGGCGGGTGGTGAGCAATTGCCCTGCGCATCATTTGGACATTTCAATCCTTTTATTACTACTGTTGTCATTTTATTAGTGTTATCATTATCATTATTAGTTTCTTCTTTTCTGTTCTATTAAATCGTTCTTATCTCAACCCAGGAGTTTTACTTCTTTTCCTGATTTTCTCCCCCATCCCACTGGATGGGGGGGAGTGAGTGAGCGGCTGCGTGGTGCTTAGTTGCTGGCTGGGGTTAAACCACGACAAAGGTCTAAATAATGAATGCTGGAGGTTTGAGGAGATTGAGTTTTCAGCTTGAAACCTCAATTTAAATACTGTTTCCTTCCTTCTCATCATTTATCTGTCTTCTCTGTTCTGGAGAGGCTTTGGAGGTGGCTTGGGAGGTGAACTGCGTGATAGACTTCATTTATGGCTGTGATGATCAGCTCCAGAAACTGAAGAAGAAGGGGCTGCTCTTACGGCATTCCTATTAGCATCAAGGATCACATTAACTGCAAGGTACTTCCCTAATTCCCTTGTCTCTTGGCCTGAGGCTGGGAAGAGGCCAGGATGTCCCATCCTCAGCAGGACTGGCTAAGAGTTCCCCCAGACAAGGATGTTCTGGACCAAATATTGTGGGACCATCAAACCTGCTCCAAACAGCATCTTTCCTGGTACCTAAAGAGCTTTGCTTCCCACCCCCAAGAGCCACATCTCCTCTGGAGTGATGGTGAAGTTTCTTGGCCAAGTGAAGGAAGAAAGACAGCGTCACCATCCAGGTTCCAAAAATCCAGGGGGCAATCCCCTTCATTAAAAGCAACATCCCACAGATGATGATAAAGTAATCCCATGTTCATCTTCATGAAAATGCTATGACATGTGACTCTTGCTATCTGAGAGAGGGTGGGCCCGCATGCACAAACTCCCACCTTTGTCCAAGCTAACCATGCACATTGAGTTAATTGCCTCCTCATTTCAATCTGAAATTATTTCTTTTATATTTGATGCCTCTTTCTTCTTAAATTCAGCTGTCCCAACAAATCTACTTCATGCTGATTCTGCCTGCTGGGATTAATTCCACACTCATCCCTGCAGAGATGCTCTGTGCCCTGTATTTATGGTTTGCAGACAGAAGTACCTCACTCACCTGCTGATCTTCTCCCCAGCTATGACTGCAGCAACCTCATCTTTGGCAGATGCTGAACCCTCTCAATCACCAGAAGAGCCCTGGGGGTTTCTTGGGAGGGGAGGGAGCTCTGAACGCAGTGGGAGGCTCCATCCTGGGCATCAGGTTGGATGTAGTTGGCAGCATCTGCCTGCCATCCAGCTTCTGCAGGCTGTGTGGGCTCAAACCCACAGGCAACAGGATCAGGTACATCCCAACATCTGTCTTCTTCTTCCACTCACCGTGGTGGCTGTAAAGTGTCCCCCACAGTGCATCAAACTTCACAATAATGTCCATGGTTTCCTCCAGTCTTAAGTTAGCACCCTAACCTGCCTGTTTCCTTGTGTCAGCTAGGGCTCAGGGCTCTATTAATGACATGTGATGCCCTCCATCTGTTAATACAGCAAAGACTTGTTCAATTTTTAATAGCCCTGGCCAGGAAGCTGACAGCAAATACTATAGGATCATCTCCTCTTCAGATCTTTTCCAGCCCTTGCTTTGCTTGTAAGAGTTTTCTGTTTATCAGAGGTGGTTTGCTCATGGATAAGGAATTAGGTGCACCAGGGAAAGGAGATGATAAAAACTGTCTCTAGCCCCTAACAGCTTACAGACCATGGAATTCTTCCTAGCCTAGAAAGGGTCAAATCTTTCCAGGACTTTTTGCCCTCCTAGATGTTGACTGGGAGCAAATGGGAAGGCTGCAACTCAGCATGGTGACCTGCCTTACAGTGAGAGCTGCTGCTAATCTGCTTCTCCCATTATATTCCTAGGAAACTGGGTGTGGTTTCTCCTACCATAGGAATGAAATCGGGTAAATCCATCCAGATGACATGTTATTACTGTCAAACCTTTGTTTCTCACATCTCCTCCTGCTGCTGAAATGTCAGCAAATGTGCTTGCTCAATTGTGTGTCTCATGGCCAGTCAAAACCAGTAATCTATTAGACCAGGACCTGCCTTGCGCTATTACCTTTTTGCACCATTTATTCTGTTCTGGGTGGTGGTAGCTGTTAGCTGAATCTGAGCAGAACTGAAGCAATACCCATTCAGGCAATGCCATGTGTAGCAGCGAGAAATGTGAGATGCACGTCCCAAAGGCCTGGGGTGTTTCACTGGAGATGCTTCCAGGAGACTGTGCTGGCTTCAGCTGCTGCCAAGCGGTATTGCTGTTGGCAGGAGGGCTGCAGCCCTCGCTCCTCTTGAGCAGCCCTTGTGCCTGAAGAAGCCTGGCCTAGAAGGTCAGCCTCATTAGGTCACCTCTGCTCTGAGACTTACGGATTGTCCCTGCTGGACCTCCTTGCTCACTTCTTGCACGTTACACTAGTTCCCCATTCCTCTTCCCTGGCCTGACTGAACCTCTTCCATGCTGGGTCCCTACCAGTAACTATGAGACAGCACCAGCCCATCTGCCTGCAGTGATAGGACCTTTGTGCTTGCAGTGACAGGGATGCTGGAGCCGATGGTGAGAGACATGGACAGCCTGGCCTTCTGCATGAAGGAGCTGCTCTGCGAGGAGATGTTCTGGATGGATCCCACCATGCCCTGCCCACCCCCTCCTTTGATGAGGAGGTGAAGCTCAAAGGCAATCCCATGTCTCCATTTGCCCAGCGAGATCTTGGGAGATTCTTATCTGGTTTCATGTCTCAAGATAGTGAAGGACCCAGGGAAGCAAGTGTTGTTCTGAACAGAGGGCAGCCAGCATGAAGCAACCACCAGAAGCAGCTGCGCAGCAGGGTTGTCAGGCCCCTCTTGCCTTGCCTTGATGAGAGCTGCTGGATGCTGACCCCTTCCCTTCCCAGCGACATCCAGAACAAGCTTGTTGTCTCCATCCTGGCTCAATCCCTAAAGGAGCTGATTTCTCCTGATCAGAAGAATTCACCCCTCACACCTTTAATTACAGAGCCTGATTTAACAGTCACTGACCTAAGAAATCATTGCCCTTTGCCATTAGCTCTCTGCTTCTACCATCTGATTGTGTCTTTCTGCCTCAGGTCCTAGGATCTGAGGAACCTCCAGTTGCCCCTGACACTCAGACAATACAGACCAGTCGCTTACCCTAGAGGAACAGCCCCTGAACTCTGCCTGTGGCCAGGCATCCCAGGCACGTGGTCTGTACAAGTACTATCACACCTGCTATCTCAAAGCTGGGACACGTTCACATGGCAGAAGGTGGTGTCAGAAAGACCATGCCAAGGACCACTGCTGCCGACCTATCTTCTGGACAACACTGCTTTCCACCAGCCCTATTGCTCCCATCATTCCTCCCACCCAGGAGACCTCAGTTGCTGCCTCCCTGAGCCCTGGGAATGGTCCAGTTGTGTACATCTTATGCATGGAAGTGATGGCTCCTCATCTCACAGGTTTACACCAGTTCAAAGCCATTTTGGACTGGGTATTATGAAGAAGACCACTACTTTCAGCTGTCGCTCAGCCTGAAATGGGCCATCCAGGAGGAAAAGAAAGCTCCTCCAGGATGCAGGGCATATGGTGGGTTTTCATGTCTGTGGTTGCCTGGAGCTGTTATCCTGCTCCTTACAGAGTTTGGACAAGTCATTTTCTGTCTCCGCTTTTGCTGCCCATAAAACAGGGACCATCCCTCCCTGTGGCAAGTATAATGAAGAGAAAAGCAAATGCAACAGTTTGTTTTCCAAAGCAAAGTGATCTTGCTTATATTCCTGGCCTAGCAAACAGGAGAATCACCTTCAGATATCTCCAAGTCTCTCCTTTTCTAAAGCAGTGTTTTTTCCATCGTATTTGGTGTTCCCATAAATATCAAACTCACGATAGTTTCCATGATTCCTCAGCTGTTAAATGCAGTTTACAGATTTCTTGGTGGGTAAGTGAGAAGGAGGTTGGAGCAGTTGAGCCCCCAGGGACCTCTTCTAGCCTAAATTATTCTGTGGTTCCATCAATGGGGATTTCTATATGGGAGCTGTTCCAATGATGCAAATTAATTAAAAATACTTGGTGTTTTGAAGCCTCTAAAAATTCCTCTCTAACATCTGGAGGAGTGGAGCCTGTGCCAGGTCACAACATGTGTTGATGCCTTGGAGACGGGAAAGGACAGTGGGCACATGCTGCTAACCCAGATTCCTTTGAAAATGGGGTCTTGCTGTCCTACAGCAGCAAGGAGGGCCTAAGCTTCCCACCACTTCCCACTCACCTCACTAGTGAGGCAGAGAGGTTCACCAAGGGCTCTGTGAATCATTCATCTTTGTTGCCTCTTGAACAGGGATGGTTTTCTTGCAGCTTGTTCCCGTTGCACCACCCAAGATTGACTATGTGGCAGATGAGCTGTTCACCAGAGGCATTTTAAAGGAGACATCATGGATCCTAACCTGAAATCCCAGTTCAATACTTACAGGCTTCCTGCTCTGGTGAAAAGGATCTTGGCTATTATTTTGAAACCCATAGTAAATGTGTAGACATGTCTCCTCTGTGTTATAGGAAATCTTCAAGGTGGGGAAGTTTCCGTGTGCAGGGAGGTAGGCTGCTTCATGTTAAGTGCCTGATGGGCTTAATAGTGAAATACACTTAAATACACTTAGTCCCTAAGCCCAGGCTGAACTTATCAAGTGGTTCTGACAGCCTTTTGTGGGAGTTTTGCATGGGGAGGTTGAAATATGATTTGTTCTCAGGAACACATGAGCCATACAGCTCATCCAGCAATGAGCTCCAAGAGAGTGGCAAGGGTCTAAACAGCATCCCCGCATCCAGAAGATGCTCTCCAGGGCTAGCAGTGTGGTCTAGAGCCTTACTGGCATGGGTTGTTGCGATTAAATATATAAATTAATGTGGGAGTAGAACTACTTCACTGGAAACCATACCTGTTCTTCAGAGCCACCTCTGCTAGGACAAGAAGTGTGCCCAAAATGCAATCACATGGTAGCCAGATATTTCAGCTGCACGCGTTGTTCTTGACTAATCCTAAATTTTTCTCTTCCCTCTGAAAGTACCCACGAATCGCTTGGGATCTCAGCGGTCTCTGTGGAGTGGGGTCAGATGCACTGAAGTAGCTCTAGAGAAAGGGGATGCACACAGGTGTGTCCACCGGTTCACGCAGGTAGGTGCCAGCTCACTGTGCAAACCCCTGTCACGGGGCTATGCAGCAGAGGCTGAGCCAGATGAGTATGTGCTGCCTCAGCACCACCTGGGTTTAGCACCACCAGGGCTATGCAGCCAGAGATTATTTTAAGAGCTCAAGGATCCTCATCGTGGCAGGGCTAGGATGTCTCCATGGAGATCAGAACAGAGAGATACAGGCTACTTCCCCCATCAGGTGGATTCTGGTACCCAGAGCATCACGTGCCAAGTTAATGGACAGGACTCCACATGTGGGTACAGTGTGGTGTGAAGTACCTGCCCCTCCAAGAGAGACAGAGACACACCAAACTGGGAGCAAGTGAATTTAGAAGCCTGCCATGATCTTTGTCTAGGTGCTCTGGCACCTAGACATGGTGCCATGCGTTTAACATAAGTTCTTTTGATGTACCTGTAAGCACGTGTGAACCCAGTGGACCCAGCTGGGTGATATTATGACTTGCTCCCAGAAGGGTTATGCTGTTTCCACAACAATGGGCTGTCTGTGCATTTTGTTAATTGTTTTCTGTTGCTACAGTCCCAAAGCTGATTAATTCTGCCACATTTCCAGGTCTGCCAAAAACCTCTGGGATCAGCATGGAGCAGTGGTGGTAATGTGATTTTTTTTTTTTTTTTTTTCCTTACTAAATATAGTGAGAGATACCTAAAGTTTCTAAGCAATTGCTTTGAGCTCTGTGATATATTTGGAGTTGGAAATGGATCATGTGGAAATAAAGCAGCTAGGCTTTTCTTTGAAAGTCAAGCTTTGCGAGAAGTGCTAAGAACTCAAGGCAATACATGTTCATGTGGCGGTCTCTACTTACTGGAGGATAGGGAAGAAATATTATCCTTTGCATTTTCTAAGCAGAAATAGCATAAGAATAGCCACTAAAAATGAGGCTTCATTTTTTCTTCTTTCTGTTTCTTGGTGCAAATCCTTCATTTCAGACACTAGATGCTATTGTTATGAGCTAAGACCATGCTTGAACAATCAAGCAGAGGCCTTAGGAGTCAAAAATTGTGGTTGTAACTCTTTGGCTTAGGTGGATTTCAAATGAACTCATTTGAGATCGGGAGCATAGGACAGGAAGCATTCTCCTGGACAACTGAGTCCAGTGCTGCCCACAAACTGATCAAATTCCTCTTTAAAACCAGTTGAATTTCATGCTTGCATTTGTTTTTATTGGCCAGCTCCTCTCCTCCCTGCTCTGATGGTTGGAAATCTTCATATTTTCTGTGCTGTTTATTCACTTCCAGTTTATCCTCATTTTATTCCTGTCCTTGAGCTTAAATAGCATGTCTCTCCCCTCTGGTATTTTGCACTGCCTCCCTTGTCCTTGATCTATTTATAGAGAGCAATTGTATCCCCTTTCAGCTGGTGTTTTGCAAGGCTGAAGAAGCTGAGCTGTTTCGGTGTCCTCCCACAAGGCAGGATCTGCGTTCCCTGGGACACCCTCGCAACCCTTCCCGAGAAGAAACGTGTCCCTTGCCTGCACCACGCAGCTTCCACCAGTGCCAGTCACTCGATGGGCATTGTGGTGGTGCAGCACCCTCCACAACACCCCCCAGCCACGTTGCAATGTCAGGACCTGCCAACATTGTGTTCTTGTGCAGTGAGTTGGGACAGTCTGGTGCTGTCTTATCCTGGCTACGGTACAGTGAGTTAGGATGATTGGGCACTCCCTAACCATACCTGAAAATCCTGCTGTCTGGATCATGGCCCACCTTGGAGGGTGCCAGAATTACCTGACAAGAATTACGGCCAGAATGGAAATACACTGACCAAAGCCAATCATCTTGCAAACCTATAAACAGTGGTCCTAAGTGAGGCCCTTTGAGCTCCCCTGGACCGCAGCGGGCTGCAACGAGCATCCCCCTCTGAATGGGACGCCTCTCAGAGCTCATGAACTCTCCAGCTTGGGAAAAAAATCGGAGGACTGTCGCCAAAAGCTGACAACGGGACCTGGGCTGATACCCTTCACTCCTTGAGGCTCAACCCTTCGCCCATTGAGAAATGCCAAGACATTTGATGTGAATATTTCACTGAACTCGAGGGGAATTTTTAACAGGTATACCTCTGTTTATATCTATCTATCTATCTATCTTTTTGTGTCTGCATGCGTGCGTGTGTGAATTGACCTAGGTATCCGATAGCAAGTATAGTACAAATATTGCCATTTAGAATCTATAATTAAGTCACTGTTGTGATTGTAGTAAATTCTATTGAATCACTTTGTAAATGTTAAATTAGTCAGTGATTAAGTGTTGCTAAATCTTGTGATTTGCCTTAAACTGTGAATGAACCTTAGACTGCTCCTACACACATATACTCCCTTAGAACATAAACCATTGACTAAGTCTGGGACTAGGAGTGGATCCAGCCACACCTAAGCTCCATCAGGAGTTTAGAAAGCAAGGGGGTCTTCTCTGAACCTCATGACTCAATGGGAAGGTCTTCCTTATTCTTTGTATTCCTTCCGCTAGACATAAACAGTTGCCCAAGTCTGAGACGAAGATTGGACCTAGCTGGCCCTAAGCTCCATCAGGAGTTTAGAAAGCAAGGGGATCTTCTCTGAACTGCATGACTCAACTGGAGGGTGTCCCTTACCCTTTTGCGTCTTTGTGCTCTGTATAAATCATTCTCGTTTGATTTTAACTTGATTTTCCATTGTACGCTTCATCCATGTATTAAGTAATAGAGTGAACCTTGCCATTGAACTTTGTGAAGTTGCACTTTTATAAACTCCTGTTAAATCACTTTTGCTAGTACCCTTTACAGTGATTCTTTAAGCAGCCCAAACCACTCATTCACAACAGACGTGCATGCTCACTTGCAGCAGGTCTGACAGATTATAGGGCAGAGGAAAAAACTCCTACAAACCTACCTGCTCACTGGGCTGATGGGAGTGTTCGGAGGGAAATGGGTTCGGGGTTTTTTTTTAGATGAAAACAGATTCCTCCCCCCGCCCTGCAAAAAAACCCAACCAAAAAGAAAACTCTTAAAAAGGTTTGTTGGCCTCAGATATTTTGAATTGTTTTTCTTCAGTGAAACCACATTAACATTTTTTCATCTACTGCAAACAAGAGCTGATTCAAAACTTTTGGCTAGCGACCAGCTTTTCTCTCAGAAAAACAATCAGGTTAGCTACACTGACTGTATTTCCTGGAAACCCATTGCGTTTGTTGAACTTTCAGCAGGAAGGGTCTCAGACTGCAGGTGGAAATTGAGGTCAGACTAAAAAATAGCCTCGTGGCTGTGGCTTTTGTGAGAGAAGTGGAAGAAAACTTGGATTTGTACAGAAAACTTGGGAGTGAGAGAGTTGTGTGGAACAGGGGCTGGACCATGGGACAAATGTGCCCCTGTAACCAGGGGCAGAAGCAGCCATACTGTGATCCACCCATGTCTATTTACTAAGACAAAGTGGACCAGCTCTTTGAGGATGGATTCATTCGTTGCCTGATGTTCAGCAAAGCTGTGGTAAACCAGACTACAAATCTAGATCTCTCTTGGATCTACAGTACAACCCTGAAGCTGTGCCTCCTGTATTGCGGGGGGAAGACCTCGGGCTCACCTAGCTGTCTCTTGCTGCTGCTTTTTATTACCTGTATCCTCATGCAGAATGAAAGAAGGTTTCATGGAAATATTTTGAACTCATGTCTTCTAGATTCTTCTATCAAAATAACCAAAGCTTTTAATAAATTTGACATTTTAGTCAGCTAGACATAACTCTTCAAACTGTTACTGATCTCCATTCAAAAAAATTCAAAGGCAAAACTGTTCATAAGCAGGACTGGGTTAATACTTGAAGAAATCAACTCTGAAATCCCTACGTAGCATTAATGTCTAGGTCTGGGCAGTACGTGGTATTCTGACAAGAAACCCAAAGGTGGAAGAACAAAATCCATTGGCTCTTTCAAAGCACAGCTCAGATTTTATTTGATTTTTCAGTTGTATCCAGGAAGCCACTGCTGTCCAACAGACATTGTTTGTCACCTCTTCTCTTTCCTTCTAGGTTTACAGCACTGAATTAATTGCTAAATGGAGGAAGCTAAGGCTGGATGTGATTCTTTGTCCTGCGCTGGGGCCAGCCTTTAACCATGGCTATGCTGGGAAGCTATCTGGTAATCTCCATTGAGGTGTCTCTGGATGCATCCATGGTGGTGTTTGTGGGCAGAGCTGGAGCAAGATATTTTGGTCTCTTGGACATTCCCCAAACCACGTGTGGTGCTTGGTCTTCCCTCTGGGGAAGAAAGTAAAGGAGAGGTCTCCACTGGATGGGTCTTCTCATGCTCCCACCTCATCTGTAGGTGTTTGGATTATTATGGGGCAGCAATTAGTGGCACATCTGTCCCAGTCATTCATGGGTGAGTTTCCCCTGCATTGTCTGTCCTGTAGAAAGCCCAAGAACTACTCTTGCAGCAGAGTGGCTGTGAGGATAGTTGTGAGAGGGGACGTAGACCTTAGTACAAAGCCAGGCTCTTCTGAATGCATCCATCTTACATTTCCCAAGACTTTGCAAATAGCAGAAAGGCTCGTTGCCTGTGACTTGCAGAAAAAGGCAATTTTTTATACCTTCCAGCAAACAGTCAGGGTCCTCTATCTCTCTAGCAATGGCCCTTTGGGATCCAAAATCCCCAAGATGGTGTTACAAAACTGGACATCTGGAATATCTTGAAAAGATAACTGGGATTTTTCCCTGGGGTATGGGAAACATAGATGCAGACTCTGAATCAGATCAAATACCCGTATCTGTCTCTCCCAGAGCAGATCTAACCTCCACCCGACTGACAGGTGAAGGCGTGTGTCTCTGGTCTCAGCAGCCATGTGGCCCTCAAACCTCTCCATGGTCTCTTTGGGTCCCGCAACTCCAGTTTACAATTCCTGCAACCCAAGTTGTCATCCAAAAGTCATTGCTGGCCCCGCACACTAAATTTTGCCATTTTGCATGCTTTGTATGATCTTTTCCAGCTGCAACCTCCTATACCAATTTATACAATGTCATAAACTTCCCTGCTGGGGTGGTGCCAGTCAGCACAGCCACAAGAGCTGAGGAAGAACTGAAGCGTTACCAAGGGCACTACAGAGACCCTTGGGATAAGAGGCTGAAAGACGTCAGCAGGGAAAGAGCTTAACTCTTAGCAGAAGGTTATGACCAGCAGAGTGACACCTCTGGCACGTTGTCCCAAGGCTTGTCTACATCTCCTGACGAGAGTGGGAGCTTGTCTAGTAACGCAGCTTGCATACACCTTGTTACTACCCTGCCTGTGGTGCAGCTAGGCTGGTGTATATCAGCCTGACAACTGTCCCCTTGCACGTCTTCCTTTGTCTTCTTTTCCTATAATGTCAAAAGGCAGCGTTCTCTCTTGTGCCTCCCCAGGTGCTCTGGTGCTCTGACTCAGCACCGTGCTTAATTTGTGCAGGCTGTGGAAGGAGCTGCGGGGCTGTAGGTGGCCATCCAATGCGTGGCTCTGCCATGGCAGGAGGACCTGTGCCTTCGCTTCATGAAGGAGGTGGAGACACTTGCCCACAGCATGAAGAGAAATGTGTGATTTCTAGGAACCTGCCTTCACTATGTTGACTTTAAATTCCTTTACTCCAGCCACCTTCTACCTGATGCACAAAGCAAAGTAGATAGCGACTTACAGACTGTGAACCACGGTTTCAATAAACTGGCAATTAATGCTGTTTAAAAACAGTCAGCAAAAATCTCATTTCTGTCCAAATTGTCCTTCTTTGTTAAACTGAGTCAAAAAAACAAAAGAAAGGAACGAGAGTTAATGCTGGACCAAAGGAGTCCAATAACTATAGTTATTTCATTCTGCAGCCAGATAAGTAACCGAGCAAGGTTGAGAGATTGAGTCATTGGACAATCCAGCTTTTTTACTTGGTTTTACTTTGTTTTGCAGGGTTTCTTCTTTAGTTTGCAGGTTAGACTTTGTGTAGTCACAACATCAGGTGCAAATAAAACTCCTAGAAGAACTGATATCAGCAGGACATGAGTTGTTAGGACAGGTCAGTTGGCCTCCTACAGTACCCAAAGCAAACAGAGCTCTCTGGTGTAACAGAAAGTGGCAGAGGGCATTAGAGACACGAACATCCCCAGGATCCCAGACATTCATTTAAAACAACTTTCAAGGGAGAAGGTAGTTGAACTAGCTATAAGCAAATGTTTAAAAAAATAGGTGAGATGAAACACCTTGACATACAGAGCAAGGCTCACCCTTGAAACACAAAAAAGCAAGAATTAGGGTTGGTACATCTTTCACTCTGAAATAGCTGTTAGCTGCACAAGTCCTCATCTTTCCAAGCACGGTCTCACCTTCTCTTTTTTTTTCTTTTTTTTTTCTGTTACTGTTCTCCTACTTTGCACTCAAATCACCTGGCTTCCCCACTGCTTGCCCGTGACGACACCAGTGAAAAGACCAACTTCGTGCTGTAAGCTTTGTGCCCAGCCATGGAGCAGCTGGGAACATCCCAGTCTTTCACCAACAAGGCGCTGAAGTCTCTGCTGTCACTCGGTGAGGACAGACCTGTGCAAGGCACCAGGCATGATGGAAGAAGTAGGAATGCTCCTGGAACAGTTCTCTGCAGCATCTTTGCTGATGGTGGCTCTACTTTGCTGGAGAAGTTGTAAGTAGGATCCATACAACCCACTTGGCTATGAAAAAGCCCAAGGAAAATAGTGCAATACCCACAAAAGTGGGAAAGATGTGGGGATGGTCAGCAGAGAAAGCAGCCCCCGCTGTCAGAGGTGTGAGGATTGGTACAGGAGGTTTCTCTCCCCATCCTATTGCAGTTTATTCAGGGAGAGCCAACAGGGTCCTGGCTGAGCAACGCAAAAAAAAATGGTTGATAGAAACAGACGCTCACCTCTCAACTGATGTTCTTGGTTGTTGGAAAGGTGCAGATTAAGCAGTAGCAAGTTTCTTAGCAGTTGTTATGTTCTGTGAGTGTTGGTGGAGTTGGACTGGGATTGAGGAAAGTCTCATGCTTCCAATAGATATTCCAGGCTGAAATGAGTCAGAAACTGGAGAGTTCCCAGAAAACATTTATTCAGCCTTCTGAGCCAACTGGAAGAACTTCTCCAGAGAGGACCAGCCCATTTCACTGATTTCAGAGTTTTGTGAAAAGTCCTTAACATTCTTTCAGGGCAGCGTAGTTAACATACCTAATTTTGTAAATTGTTTTGAAAAAGCGCATCAGAGTGTTTGGTTCCAAAAACATGAAGATGAGATACAACTGTCAGGATTTATTCTTTGTTATTTTAATCAAAATGGAGTCAAAGCTGACTTAAAAGTAATTATTACCAATTTAGAGTGCAGACAGTTTAGTTATAGAAAATTTCTGTCAAAACCGAGCCTGCTTGAGAGCTGAAGGTGTTGCATGGGGTGTGATGATAGTAAGTCAGTGCAGGTTTGCTTTTGCAAGCAAAGACAGCACAGCTCTTGCTGGGGACAGGAGTGGACTGAGTTGGTCTGCCTTTTTTCTGTGATGGTGCAAAGCGAAGGAAGTGAGTTTGACCTTGGACCTAGAAAGATTCAGGTGAGAAAAACATTGTGAAAATGTTGCACTTGGCCTTGGTTGTTTAGCACACACCAGTGCAATGTGGAGGAGCGAACACTGATCTGTGAGTCAGGCAGGTCTGTCTCCTTTGCTATGGACTCGAGATTTGACTTGGGACACCATTTGCTTCCCTGCCTCAGTTTCCCCATGGGGACAGTGGTCTCTTTCTTGGCAGATTTTTTCCCCACGCATCCCTTGCTCCCCTTTGCTTAGATGTGGGGCACACAAAGCCCCCCACTTTGACCCAACCCATCTGCTTCTGTGTAGCTGCTCCCCTTCGTGGCAGGGACTTTTTAATTTCCTATGGCTCTTGAAGTACCTCAGCAGATCTACTTGGAGGGTGCAAAACAAGCTTGGATTTTGAAACCATCCCAGTCCTGAGGGTGGATTCAACCCTCACTCCCTCCAGTCACACCCACTGCCTGTGTCCCTGCTGCAGGGACCCGTGGGGCTGCCCATAGCCATGAAGCATGTGGCCTTGCCGTGGCAGGAGTAGCGATGCCTCTGGTTCATGAAGGAGGTGGAGATGCTCACCCATTGACAGGGAAAGGGGCTTCCTCAGCAGCATCCAGCCATCTGGAGAAGCAGCCACACCTGCTGATAAATCTGCCCTTTGAAACGCCAAGTCGGTCCGGACACAGCTGGCTCTGACTCCGTTAAACATTTGCTAAGTGTCTAAAGGGCAGGATCGGAGCACATGTCTCAGTGCGCAAGCGGATGTGGGAAGCCAATGCCCTGACACTTTCCAGCACGGGGGAAAAAACCTCCCACGTCCACTCAGCCCATCATAGAGGTTATGTTGCTGTCACGTTGGCAAAGAGCCCACCTCTGCCTCAGGAAGCCCCTGCATTGATTCCTGGAGGCTGGGAGATGGCTGGGTATTGCTGCGTGCTGACCCTGGACACACGCACCTTCCAGAGGCACCTGCTGCAGCCAGCACCATGGGGCAGGAGCGGGAGGTGGATGGGCTGCAGGCATCTCCCCATGCTGCTGCTCTCACCAAGCCAGCAGCGCCTTAGCTGGGAAGGCATCCTCTGAGCAAGGGTGCCACTGAAAGGGAACACAGTAAAAGGCCAGCTTAATTTGTTACCATGCAGCTAATTGCTGCCAGCTCCAGACTGTTTCTTAGAGGATGCCAAAACCAATTTTTGGAGTCCTTCATAAATTTCCCTAGTTAAGAACAAGAAGAATGTTCCCTAGTGACACAAATTGTTACAAAAAACAACAGTGAGCTCTAATAACCGCTAAAAATGGACGTGATAATGGATGAAAATCACACATTAGAGGACTGCCTAGCCCTGACGGGAGCAGGCTCTTCACCTTCCTTTCCATATCCAGTTCCGTGCTCTGTTGCAGCAGGATCAGGTTCTGGGCCTCTGGCCATCAAGTGCAACCTTGCAAAGTTTTGTAATGTACAATCTAGCTGCCCCAAAACCTTTTTCAAGGTGGGACCCATAGGAGGATCCCCCCATACAAAACAAGCAGAGAAGATCACAGGCAGACCGTGGTGTTTCTTTTGGGGCTGATGTTGGCTGGGTTGTTGCCTTCAGCTCAATGCATGGGTCTTGCGTGCTTGTAGCGAGAGGCATCTGTGCTGGAAAGACCTCAGTTACTAGCTGTCCCAATGTTTGTTGGAAATAGTTTGCTTCTGGCCTGCAACCCTGTGGGATTTTCCACTTCTAAGGCAATACCAGCGTGCTCAGTCATGGGGTGGAACAGCCTCTCCTTCTGGCGCATGCAGGCATCACAGCAGGGCTGAGCCCTATCCCACGGGCCTCCTGAAACAGCCCCTGGCCACCGTGGGAGCGGCATAGGCAAAGGGATTTGGTGAGCGAGTGGGTACCCCACAGCTATGCATCTTCTCGTCATGCCATTTCCCATCCCCGTGCAGGGAAGTCTTGTGATTTCAAGCTGTTTTTTCCCCTTCTCCCGTTGCCTTCTCAGGCTACACAGGAAATAGGAGAGCAGCTATTTCCTTGCTTCTTTTGTTCAGCTGATCCCACAGCCCTTCCTCCCCAGCGGAGAACTTCCCGCAGTCCAGAAAGCCCCTATAAACTCGACACCCCAAGGTTCACTGGCCAAACTTCACCTTTTCCATTTCACGGTCAATCATTCTCCACTGCACGCTCCACTGAAGGCAGCTTTGCAGTGGTCAGCTTTGGACTTACAACCTATTTGCTGACCCGAGGCAGCGGTTCTGGGAGGAGGGACAGGTCTGGGGAGGCAGGGAAGGTCTCCTGCTCCTGCCTTGCTTTTCTTTCTCACTCCATCCCTGGAGACCAGAAGGCCACGTTATGATCCAGCAACAGCTGAGGCAGCTCCTTCCAGAGAGGGAGGTGGATCCTTCTGCTGCCCTTGCCCTGCTCGGCAGCTCGGCAGTAGCCATGGTGGTCTGGAAATGGCTGGGCAAAAGGCAGATCCAGAAGAAAATGGAAGAGGCTCGGAGGACCCGGGATGAGGGTGTGAAGAAAATGGCAAAGGCTGTCCAGCAGTTCAGGGAGCAGGTAACCTGTCCTTCT